CCTTTTGATGCAGTCCTACCAGAGTCACTGAGGACCCTGGCATGGGCAATGAGGGAGGCTAATGAGGCAGAACCTAGAATATAATTGGGTGGAAAGTGAGCAGAAGATGAGGTAATGGAGGACAGCAAGAAACACAGGTCTCCTCAGAATTCGGGTAGTAAGGGGTAGGATAGAGCAAGAAAGATGACTGGAGTGGGATGTGGTTTGTTTGTTTTTTAAATGTCAGGTATTTATACAGGGTTGGAAGCTAATAGAAGCCAAAGGGAGGGAGAAGTTGAGACATATGAGAAAGAGGGGGTATGATGTATAGTCAACTTCCTAAGAGAGTGGATGATGGGAACCAATTCAAGAAAGTGAATGGCCTTCACAAATAGAGCCAGCCCCTCTACTGTGCCCAAAGGACAGATTGTGGTTACATATAGATGCAAGTAGCCTTATAGTTTGGTAGGTGGAAGATGAGAGAGTTTTAGTCTGAATGTTTTTATTTTCTCTTTACATAAACATAAAGCTATCTTCTAGTGAGGAGATAAGGATGTCTAAGGTTCAAGGCCAGGGGAGAGAGTCTGAAAAACTTGTTGTACAAAATGGAAGGATGAGGTACCTGGAGAAATTGTAGTGGGTTGGCCAGGCAGCATCAAAGGCCTGAAGTTGCTGAATATGAATTTACAAAATCATTCTCCCCTGTGCATTATTTCTAAAGCCATATGCAGCTCCTTGGCTTCAGGCACAGAGAAGGGCAATTACAGATTTTAGCTAATATACAGTGGAAGATGCAGTCTCCAGAAAAGAAGAATCAAAGATCTGAGAACCCTGGGTGATGCATGGTACCCTCTGGAGCTTGAAATCACCCAGGCTAATGGCAGAGTTTAGGAGAAAAGGAAGACTATTGACCCTGGGGGAAAAAAAGAGGGGGTAGAGAAAGAAAGAGAGAGAGAGAAGGAAGGAAGGGAGGGAGGGAGGGAGGGGGGGGAGAAGGGGGTTTCTGAAGAGGTTCATAGATGACAAAAATCAGTGAGAGAAGAGTATAATAAAATAATAAAACTATAGCTGAAATGTATGAGCTTCAAAAAAACAGGCACTTGTTTTTTGGCCTGCTTTTTGTTTTTAGCTTAAGGGGGGGAGGAAAAAACACCTGGAAGAAGCAACAGCAAGCCAGGAGGGAAACCCTAGGCCCTCCATCTGAGGTGAGTGGGTGGGGGAGGGGCATGAATAAACAGACACCACATGAGAAGCCTGTGAGGGAAGCAGGATTGTCAGGGAAAAACCAGGTTTCAGGAAAGGCAAAGAGATGGGTGTTTGCAAAGCCATGGTTGCAGAGAACATGGGTGAAAATGTGTGGATTTAGTCCCAGGCCAGACTTTCTTATAATACGTAGTTCCAAATGCCCTATGACAGATTTCTTTCAATGAATGAGAGCTGCTTTGATGCGGCTCCACTTTGACTGCTCTAGATGAATGCTTTGGACATCAGGAGACAGAAAAGGCCATGCATATCCAGCCACACTGTTAATTACTTGCTATGGGGGAGGCTGTTCAATTCTTATCCCAGCCACAAGTTAAATGAACAGTTGGGGAGTATGGCAGAAGAAAAGAATGGATTCTTTTTTCATGTACAAGAATAGCAACTCAAGTATGAAAGCAGAGGAAAAATTAATAGAATTCATCATTTTAACCTTGATTTCCAGGATTTGGAAAGAGGACAATGGGAGCTCTGGATAATGTGTAATATCATTACTTTAGGCAAAGAGAAGCAGTCCTGACTTGGTGCAATTGGTAGTGAAAAGCAAGAGGTTCCCTGATGAGTGTGTTTATCAAGTACATCTGCAGTGTTATTTTGTACGCTCAGTTGTAGCCCCTGTCATTCTTCTTCAGGCTCATTTAACATGATGGACTTGTTTGGCAAATCCTTCAGGTGGTAGGACGATAGGAAGAGGAGGAAACTTACTCTGGATCATAAAGTACAAGATACTGGCCTCTCTCACACACTCCAGCTCTTCCTTCTTATCCTCTTCGATCATCATGATTATTGGTAGGAAAGAAAGTGATTGGATCGGTGATGTGATTCTGGGAGTCTGTTGATTAGTTGCTCAGAGTACTATGGAGAGAAGGTTCCAGTATAGCTGTCTGGTTTGACCTGAATTCTTGATTAGGGAGAAAAAATGTTTGACAAGTTCCTGAACTTGCATCTCGGGGAATGTCACTAAGTCCTACTTGAATGATGTAGTTCAGATGCATTTCTCCCACGATTATGGTCAGTACTAACAACAGCAGCTTGCATCAGTTTGGTGCTACCTGCCACACACTGTGCTCACATTTTTCAGAGCATACAACTGAGATTAAGGAATGTTAAATGATCAGCCCAAGATCACACAGCAAATTAGTGACAGAGCTTCAGTTGTGGGCCAGATGTATCTCCAGGTGCCACATTCTTCACCAAAACACTCTGAAATAGCACTGTTCAATACCATGAAAGCCACATGCGAAAGAAATTTTCAATTTTCTAGCAACTACAGTAAAAAGTACAAGAAAATGGGTAAAGTTACTTTTAATAGCATATTTTATTTTACCTAACATATCCAGAATATTATCATTTAACATATGGTCACTATTAAAAATGTATTGCCAAGATATCTTACATTTACATTTCATACTACATCTTAAAAATCTGATGTCTTTAACACTGCGAACACATTTCAGTTCAGGCTAGCCACATGTCTCGCTCGTGGCTACCATACTGGACGGTGCATCTCTAGACTCCGTTTATGGAAACAGAGATCTTTTTTTTTTCCCCTTTTTTATTGTTATGTTAATCACCATACATTATATCATTAGTTTTTGATGTAGTGTTCCAGGATTCATTGTTTGTGCACAACACCCAGTGCTCCATGCAGAACATGCCCTCTTTAATACCCATCACCAGGCTAACCCATCCTCCCACCCCCATCCCCTCTAGAACCCTCAGTTTGTTTTTCAGAGTCCATTGTCTCTCATGGTTCATCTCCCCCTCCAATTTCCCCCCCTTCATTCTTCCCCTCCTGCTGTCTTCTTCTTTTTTTTTTCTTAACATATATTGCATTATTTGTTTCAGAGGTACAGGTCTGAGATTCAACAGTCTTGCACAATTCACAGTGCTCACCATAGCACATACCCTCCCCAATGTCTGTCACCCAGCCACCCCATCCTTCCTACCCCCCACCACTTCAGCAACCCTCAGTTTGTTTCCTGAGATTAAGAATTCCTCATATCAGTGAGGTCATATGATACATGTCTTTCTCTGATTGACTTACTTTGCTTAACATAACACCCTCCAGTTCCATCCATGTCGTTGCAAATGGCAAGATCTCATTCCTTTTGATGGCTGCATAATATTCCATTGTATATATATACCACATCTTCTTTATCCATTCATCTGTCGATGGACATCTTGGCTCTTCCCACAGGGAAACAGAGATCTTTATCACAAGGTTTTACTGAGTTTATTGCAGGTTTTGTTTTGATGTAGTAGAAAGAGGCCTTCCTATGTGTGCTGTTGGTCTCTGTGATACAATGTGATGCAAGGTTGGTAGCGCCCATCCCGTGGTCTCTTTTCCCTGTGTGGCAACCTTCTCTTTTAAAAATGTGTGTGTGTGTGTGTGTGTGTGTGTGTTTGTGTTGATTTTCACAACAAGTCTCCACAAAATAATGGAGTTTTTAAAGTACTTTATAATACAGAGTAAATGAAACAGAAAAAGAGCTGGACTCTTGCCAAGGTTAAGATATGTATAGGTTTGCATCCCCTTACTATATGTTCTAACTTGGGTTATAATTTAATCTCTCTGGATTTATCTTTTTGTCTGTTACCTGTTCTTATATAGTTTTTGAGACTGTATACATTTAATATAATACCTGAGAGTTAGAAAGTGATTGATGTGTTAGCTATTATACACATACATTTAAAGTTCTTGTATAGTTACTACCAAAAATCAAGCAGAGTCATGAACCATGAATACGAGAGCGGGGCATACATTTTGTGGAAATTGCAAAACAATTTTTCAAATAACCCATATCTATTTGTGAACAGGTACCTTTATAGTTACTTAAATTTTACTTGACTATTCTTAATGTGAGTACTCAATTTCTTTTGCCGTTCTTATACATTTATTTTTTGAGATCTATTTTGAAGGCTCTCAGATAGTGATTGTCTCCAAATTTCTGCAGTATTTATCTTAAGGTTTGCAATTTGATGGGTAGAAAACAATTACATCATTATATAACTGTTGTGAAGTTGTGGGTAATTTTTATGTGTTTAATTTCTTATCCAAATAAAAAGTATTTTAGTATAAATGAAATCATTGTCGCCATCATCTAGGCATTTGTATGAGCTAAGAGTAATTTTTATTATACATTTTCTTTAAATAAAATCCCCTTATAAATTGATGTCATAGAAAATACTTGGTTCAGCAGCTGGTGATGCTGGATTTCAGTATACTAAACTTGTATGTGCCCAGCACCAGGGTCCTAACAAACTGTTTCTGCTCTGTTTAAGATACCTAATAAAGAGCAGTCAACCATGGTGGTATTACCATACAAGATCAGGGGTAGACGAACCATGAGAGACGATGGACTCTGAAAAACAAACTGAGGGTTCTAGAGGGGAGGGGGGTGGGAGGATGGGTTAGCCTGGTGGTGGGTATTGAGGAGGGCACATTCTGCATGGAGCACTGGGTGTTATGCACAAACAATGAATCATGGAACACTTCATCTAAAACTAATGATGTAATGTATGGGGATTAACATAAGAATAAAAAATTAAAAAAAAAAAGATCATTGAAGTCACACATAAATGTCTACCCATGTTGTTTTTAAAATTGAGCAAACAGGTGGTTATTTCTCATTGATGGACAAGTCACTCCATGTCCATAATTTGCTTTCATTCTCAATCACTGGTCTGTGGAAGATTTAAGGACATATCCGTTTTCTTTTCCCTTTGATCTAATCTTATTTTTGTCCATTCTTGTGCAGAGGTTACTACATAATAATTGTGCCTTTGAAGAAATCTCGTGGGAAATTTATCAAGCCATGGGAGAGTCCAGATGAAATGGAATTAGATGAGGTAACTATGTGTTTTTTGGCTGTGTCTTTCATTAGTTATTTAATTTATTAAACATACTCTTCATCTGTATGGGAGGAAGGTGCTGACTTCTGTATGGTTGGCTGGTCAGCTGGTTGGATGGTTCAGTGCTATGGGCCTGATAACCTCTAGGGACCCCAACAGAGAACTCTTTGCTTTAATTAAAAGACACGTAGCTGCAGTAAAGCTTACAACCTGTCTAATCTTTGTTGGCTTTAATATTTTGCGCCTTGTCCCTTGTAAAACATGATGCAAGGTGTGCAAGGTGAATTGTCAGCAAAGACTTAATAATCATCATTGCTATGAACTCCAAGGTCTGCTTAATTAGTGTAGTGGTAGCTGAAGCTGTTACAAATGCTAAATTGCAATTTGCACCAGAGTTCAACATCTTACCTACTATGCGTTCTTGACAAGTTTCTCAGAGAACTATGCTGATTAGCACATTTGCCTTATTCTATATTTTGTAGGATTTCAGAATCAAAAATGCATTTAACTGCAGGGGCAAACAAAACATATCCCCAAATTTTGAGCCAGGACAGAAATATAGAACAAAAACCACAGCAAACACCAAATAGTATGATTTTAATTTCTGACATCTTACAACAATAGTAGGTGTATTTTAATTAATACTCTTTTTGCAAAAAGAACATTTGTTTTTGGTTTTTTATTTTTGTTTTTTTTTTTTGGAAGTTAATACATAGTATGAGGAAAAAGACCTAAATATTATACATTCTATTTAGAGGGAAAACTGTGATCAGAAATGTTAAGCCATATACCCAAAGGGCCAAGCAAGTTAATGGCTGTGGTTCAGTCAAATACAGGAAAGATTTTGCTCTTTTAACATGATGCTGGTTTGAATCACTTCAGAAAGCAAATTAAAACGCCCCCACTTGGGGACATATGAAATTTTAATTTGTTGAGTTTATTTACAACATAGGCCACATCTTATAGCCCAACCTGTTGTTTCCAGGTATTTTCTCTATTTTAAATTAGTGCAAGGGAGCAGGAGAAAGAAGAAATTCCTTAGCTGCATTACAGGGAAAAGATGTTTATTTCATACATGTCTGCACTAAAGAGACTGTGATCTGACAGATAAGGGCTGTTAGCTTCTTTTGGCAGACATATATCCTCTCTAGACATATGGTTCATCTTCACCCACTTCATTTATCTGAGTTAAACTTGATCAAGTTCAGAAGGGGAGATGAGTTCAAGGTTAGGATTGTGCTTTTATGTCACTCTTTAATGATTAGATAAGCACTGGAGGGGTGTAAAATGGCATATCATTTCAATAATGTCAAGTAATTTATGTTATAATTTTTTTCTAATAATAAAGAAGGAATAAAATCATTTTTCTATGTTAGAGGAATAATAATCTTCCATCTGAATATGCAAAATGTCAGCTGGTCTTTTGTAAACATTTTTTTTTAAAGATTTTATCTATTTATCTGGAAGAGAAAGAGAGAGAAGAGCAGGAGGAAGGGTAGAGGGAGAAGCAGACTCCCCGCTGAGCAGGGAGTCCGACGTGGGGCTTGATCCCGGCACTCCGAGATCATGACCTGAGCTGAAGGCAGACACTTAACCGACTGAGCAAACCAGGTGCCCCCGCTTTTTAAAATTTAAATTCAATTAGCCAAAGTATAGTGCATCATTAGTTTTTGATATAATGTTCAATGATTCATTAGTTGAGTATATCACCCAGTGCTCATCATATCACGTTCCCTCTTTTTAGGTGCCCCTTTTTTAAACATTTTGAAGCAAGGTATGCTTTTACTTGCAACTGACTAATCAGTTAATCTTGAGATTGTTATATTATTACTTATTAATTAATCAGCTCTTGAATAAATTACTGAATTCCATTGGAATTGCTTTTAAAATGCAAAGGTAACTTGTAGAATCTATGAATCTTTCCTCCTGTTAAAAACAAGAAACAAAAAGCAAAAAACAAGTTATCAAAGAACTAAAATCCAATCCAAAAATTATGTCAAATACTTTTAAATAATAACCTTTTCCTAGAAGTAGAACCATTTGCTAGCAATAGGAAGCTGATTCTCTTTTATAGCCAGGTTTTAACCTCCAAAATGCACAGCAATACTAATGGATTAAAGTATAGAGCTATATGACATTGAGCTTTCCTGCAATTAAATTCTATGGGTCTGTGCTGCTGATTCCCATAACGGGTCATTTTAATCATCCCACAAGTTGTGGTGCATTAATCTGTGTAATAGTTTGATAAAGAACATTTATTAATTCAAAATTTTGGGGTCAGGATGGGTTGTTTCCCACTTTTCTTACTGATATAATTGAGATCACATTGTAGAATTAATGGTGGAAGAAATAAGATATGCATTGACTGGAAAATGAAAATTATTTCTGATAAAAAACTAAAGCCCTTGATATATCTTCTGGAATTACCTCCAATACGTTTTGTAACTATTGTGTAGGGGAACAAATGAAACTAGTCTATGACCTCACTTTATGCTTACTCATCCAGTTTCTGATCCCTACAGACATTTTTCCCCCCATCATGGATAATAAAAGCATTGTTGTAATGTTATCTATAGCTTGGTACTGCCAGCTTTGACAAAGCAATGTTCCTCTCTTAAATGTATTTGACCAAGTGATTTTTTAGAAAGGCCTATAATTCAAATGGTTGAAACCGTATCACCGAATATAATGGTGGCCTAAGGGGATTTCCACATGTATGCCTCAGCTCTAGGCCCATAAAAAACGGAAAGAGGCTTCCTAAACAGAGCCACTCTCAATATTATCTTCTGAGCTCATTTATCCTTTGTCTGGGGATAATCTCCACATAATAAATTCATGCACTGGAACTTCTGTTGTCAAGGTCAGACTGGGCAGAGCAGACGTTGATAGTCAAACTGAATTTCGGACAGAATGACTCATAAAATATTAGTTATAATTAATTCAGGGCAGGTTTTATAATATATCATAAGCTTTTCATCGCATTTACTTCAAAGGCTTGCTCTTAAATAATGTGGTCATTTGTAGTTGTAACTTCAACATACTGGGTAACTTTGGTAACATCTGAGTACACTTGACCAATTTAAAGTATAACACAGGAAGCATCCTGCAGAGATTACAGCAACCTCCGGGGGCAGAGTTGATATTCCAGGTTTGACCTTAAGGAACGGCTGCATTGCATCTAAGGAACACCAAAAAACCCAAATATATTATTCTAAGGTACTTCCTCCAAGTATTCTAAAGAAACCCTAGCAAAAGGTATTCATGGGGATGACAGTGATATGGATGAATTATGACAGTTGCATACATGTGAAATATGGATAAAATCAAAGTAGGGTTTGATCAGTGAAGTGGAAGAGGGGACACAGTCACATAAACAACTGAGGGTAAATGTTTCTGATTAACCAACTTCAAAAAGCTGTTCAGCTCATCTGCAGTACGTTTGTCCTTAAAGTAATGGCTCATTGTCTACTACATATCAATAATACCTTTGTAATGACTTTTCCAGTACATTATTAAATATTTGGCATCAGAATTTTTAAAATAACATGTTAAAAGAATCCAGGAAAAGGAAATCTAAGTACACATTCAGCTACATTAATGAGAACAGATGCACAAAAATTACATATGTCTAAGTATAGATTGAGTTAAAACAAGTTAGGTTATTGATTTAGCTTAAATGTTGCATTTGTGTTTTCTTGATATTGTATAACCATTAAGCAAACAAAAATATAATTTGAAAAATCCCTTACATGTAATTTCATTTTATTTCACCAGTTGCACCGATTATATATCGCCACTTCTGTTATACCTTCGTGTCCTCATTTATAAAATGGGGATATAATAATAGCCTAACTTATAGGGTTTATTATAAGGAGTAAATGAACTAATAAATATTTAGGCTTCTGAGAACAGTGCTTCAACTAAGTGCTTAATAAATATTAGCTATCATTGTGATTAGCATTATTATAAGTAAACCTAAACCTGACAACAGGATTCAAAGATAGTGCTAAGTGTTGGCCTTGTTTTATTTCCTCTTCACTGGTGCATAATTGATCAGCCTAACTGAATGTATCATCAGATAGTCCAAATTTGCTAAACAAGTGATGCCCAGTCTACTGGAATTCTCATAAAAGAGCTTATAGTTCATGTAATTTTCATTGCATCAATAAACTCAAAGAAAATACTAGAACATTAGAAATTAGATTCAAAACAATGTGGGCACAGGTTATCTATATAACCCAAAGAGTGTTTACCTATTTGATTTACATCTGACCAGCTGAGCTCATTTACAACTCTGGGTAGTATGCCATCAGGTTCCTAACACAAGGATTTGACGTTTGCTGTATATAGAATCTGCAACCATTATCACAGAAGCCTGGCCTTGGGAGCTAAGCAGATATCACTACTTTGGTTTTTGATCTATCATTTCCACTTATATAACAAGAGTAGCAAATAATTTCACCATAATGTTTCCATTAGTATCTTAATTTTATTTATTGAGTTGAAGACAAGTTTCATTCCAGAAAAAAAAAGACATCACAGACTGCTACAAACTTTTTCCCTTGGTTATGCCCTATGAAATACCAATATATTTAAGGGGAGAAGACAAAGCTAACTTCAACATTATTTTGAAATCATTTGTCATAAAATATCATTAATGTGACTTTCTAATGAAAAAGGTGAAGGCAAAACAGGAATATTGAAACATAAGTTCTACCTTTTTCTTTTAGAGATGCGTGAAGGATTTTTGTGTACATGTGTGTGTTTGTTTTCTTCAGGGTAATATTAAACTTAATGTTTATCTACCCTGTCTGTTTCACCTAAGAAGATAATTCAACCTCTCCAGGGAACTGTCAGCTCCAGAAAAGTTGATGTCGTGATAAATGTGAGGAATAACCAAAAGGTTATTTAAGGAGCCAAGAAACCAAGTCAAGCCATAAATTGTTTTTTATTTTTTTTTATAGATTTTATTTATTTATTTGACAGAGAGATAGACAGAAGAGCACAAGCAGAGGGAGTGGCAGAGGGAGAGGGAGAAGCAGGCTCTGCACTGAGCAGGGAACCCGATGCGGGACTCGATCCCAGGACCCTGAGATCATGACCTGAGCCAAAGGCAGATGCTTAAGCATCTGAGCCACCCAGACGCCCCAAGCCATAAATTGTTAAATGAGTGACAATGTCTATATAATATAAGTTTCAATTAAAACTTGGTCATTGGATTCTATTTCTGCTGATTTGAGGGTATTTGTATTGTATAAATGATCTCACTACTAAAAACCATCTAAAATGGTACTAACCTCTCCGAAAGTTGATCATAATTGATGGCTTTATCTGAGGTTACTATTTGTTTAATAAATAACAATAATAAAGCCTGCGTGACAGGCTTTTGTGAATCAAGCTGACTTTTTTTTTACTTAGGTTATAATGTACTCTTGCCCTTTGAGAAGATTTCATTAGGGTAAATAGTGATATGAGCTACCAGTGAAGGAAGGGTCTAATTGTCCTGTGTTTATCGCCCGGGCCTTGCAAGAGCAGTCTAACACCTTACTTTAATAGCAAGACAAGCATTTGAAAGATAGAACTGAGATTTAGTGATGCTGACATGGTACATGAAATGTAAACAAATTGTGGTTGAGTTGTTCCCAGTCCTGAATTAATTTCTCCCATTAAATAGTCATTAAGTTGGGTTATTGTTGTTTACGTTTCTTTTTCTGTTTCCCACGTTTTTCCTTAAGCTGCTTAAAGAGATATCTAGGAAACGCAGAAGCATCCGATATGGGAGAGAAGTTGAATTAAAGCCATATATTGCTGCTCACTTTGATGTCCTTCCCACTGAGTTCACCCTGGGGGATGACAAACATTATGGTGGATTCACAAACAAGCAACTCCAAAGTGGTCAAGAATATGTCTTCTTTGTGTTAGCAGTGATGGAACATGCAGAGTCTGTAAGTTAATTGTGTTGGCATCTCTTTCCTTTGGTATTCTTACCTATATTCACCAGAATAGGTCTATTTGGGGGATATGTAGATATATCCATCCTAATTATTTCTCATGAGCTATCATTAACTTAAGTGGAGCAACAGGCTGCCTACTCTTTAAACACTGCTGAGTAATCTGCTTGAGATTTCATTATAAACAAGGCTGTGTCCCTAATGACATGGAATTCAGGTGGGTTTTTTGGCTTATGAAGTGCCGAACTGATAAGACATGGTTCTTGGAACCATCAATGTGACACATCTGGAAAGGACGGTGATACCCATCACTGCTCAAAAGCGCCTTCGTCAACCCTTAAAAATGACTGTTCTCAGAGAAGTTTATTTGATTACAATAGAAACTATCAAGTTCTGCAATTAAACATAGGGTATTTCCAGGTATTCAGAAATACTGATTGAGGGTGATTGTGTTTTATTCTCCTGCAACTGCTGGTGAGCCCACAATCTCTATCCAGATTCAGAAGGTCTGTCTAGGAACAAGGCAAGCACAGTCAGCTTCTTTAATTATAGCAATTTACCAATGACTTTATCAGTGAAAAGCCAAGAATGTTAGAAAATAATTCAATAAAACAGAGAATTCCTAAGGTACTCTAAATAATGAGTTGTCTTCTTTTATGTAATTCATCTTGCTCTTATGTCGTTTTATGCTTCAGTTGCTGTGAATGTTAAAAAAGGAGAGAGAGAGAGAGAGGAAGAGAAATTGTAGCTGTGAAGGGGGGGTGGATTTTGAAGTGGCAGTTCACATTAACATTTAATATACATATTCTAACTGTATCTTTCTAATAGGGGCCTAAAACTGACAGGCGTGGCAGTTCAGTTGAGCCAGTCACTTCCCTTATAGAGGAAGCCCGAGATGTCTCAAAGATTTCTTCACCTAGGGTGTTAGCACATATAGTGGGGCTTCTCTTCAAATGACTGAAGGAATTCCCCTGTGGAAAATCAAAACACAAAGGCAGCCTTTCTGCCTCGTTTACCTTTGTGCGCAGAATGTCATTTGAAAACAAAGTGATGGGCTCCCTGGAATTTTAATGCATGGATATGCTTTCTCTTTTTAGTTGAAGGTTTTAAGGCAGAACATCAAGGGAATAGAATGTTAGAAATCATCTTTTTCTTTCTTGTTTTTAATGACTTTTAGATATTTGAAGTAATTTTCCTTACATAGCTTTAAGATGTTTCAGAAAGCACGTTCAGACCATTGAGGTAGATCAGAGAATTCAGCAAAGAAGAGCAGCCTCCGCAGACCATGCAGGCTGATGACACCGCTGTCAGAGACTCTGGTTTGATTTCTCCCAGATGTTTCTAGTGTTTAAATGCATTACCAATGATGAAGAGTCTACATCGCCCCTTAGTATGTCATTTCATTGTTTCATTAATTATGTAATTAGGACTTTTTCCAAATAAATTATCTGAACTGTCCCTTTTCTCCATCATCTTTCCCAACAATGCTCTTTATGTGTTGTATATGTTTTCAGGCCAGCATCTACTTTATAGAAAAGACTTGTATCCAATGAATATAATGTTGGCAATGATACTGTCATTTTGTAAGCCTCAAATTTTTGTGAATAATTGTTGTTAAGCACCTAACCACTCCCAGGGTAGGCTAATAATTTTCATAGAGAAAAGACCCACCCCTCAAAACGTGAGCTTTCCCTAGTCCATTATTACTTCACGTTAAGAGTATCAGAGGGCTGGTTTAGAACAACCAAAGGCTATTACCCCCGCACATTGAACAAGTTTTATTTTCACAAGGCTGGTATCACTTTATGGTTTTGTTTTCTTTTCATTTTCTTACGTCTCTATTTCCTGATTTGGGTTGGAAATCTGTGTGCTTTGGGAAAACCTCTGCCTAGATTTGTATCTTGGCTGACCAAGATGATTATCTCAAAGGCCGTTGGTAAAGAATTTCAAATCACAGAGTTTTGTTTATTTTTGTCTGCCAAACAGTTGAGTGTGACCTACAAGATAGAAAGGGGAAAGTATAAACCAAAACAAACAATTATACTTACATAAAGAATCATGTTTCTTGGATATTTAGTGTCTTTGCCAAGTCCTTACACTGTACATATCTTTTTCTTTTTTTTTTTTAGCTGCTTCTGAGAAGGTTGGAAATGTACTGACTTTTTATCTTTTGACACATTCGAAAATCTAGAAATGTAGTCAGTCTCTCCTAAATACTATGGGGAAAGTGGGAAAGAATAGAATACAAACATTTAGTGGGGCATAGGCCTTCCAGATTGACCACTAAGCTTGCTGCACTTAAATTCAGAATATATGCCCTAAATTAATTCTTTAAATGCAGATGAAAAATTAGATATACTTCCTAATCATGGAGAGATGAGAATACACTCTTATGTCTTGATAAGATCAGCCATTTGAAAAGATGAACAATTTATTTTATTTGACAAAGATTTGCTGGGAACTCATTAAGTGCAAAGCTCTGTGCTAGCTGCTTTGAGTGTACAAACACAAGCGGTATATAAATCCCTACCTTCCTGGAGTTCATAGTTTCATTAAAGAAAATAAAGTATATGCACAAATAAAAAAAGGAAAACAGAGCTGGATGAATACCATTAAAAAAGGAATAAAGGACTACCTGAAATTTTAAAAGTTGTTTTTACCTATATTTTGTGAAATGATTATTTCCAGTTAAGGAGTGGTAGCTTCACTGGAGGCAATATTTAAGCGGGGTCTTGGAGATCAGTTAGATTACAGGAGCTAAATGTTGTGGAACTTGTGAGAGGGTTAAAGAGAGAGAATAGGGCATTTAGGGAGTAGTAGCAAGAAGCTCACTATGATGGAAAATGTTGTGTGTGATACAGAAGTTTAAAACAAAATCACGGAGGCCCTTAAGATCCCTGCTAGGACATCTAGGGTTTATTTAGGAATCACCAGAGAGCCTCCTGAAGGTTTTACAGCTATAGTTTAGGATAATAACTCTAGCAGCCCTAGAGACTGTTAGAGGAAGAAAGAAATTCTCAGTATGCTTTGGGTGGGCATGAATGAGGTCCGGAAGAAAAGTGGTACCCATGAAACTGGAAAGAGAGTAGATCAACCTGAGGGTCATTGGCAAAATAAAATCAGTAGTTTTTCATTCCTAGGTATTGAGAAGATGAGAAAAATTAGCAAGTTGGAAGGAGGGTATATCTAGCAAGCCGGGAAATAACACATGCAATTCTTAACTTGCAGGTAGATGTAGGAATCTCTAGCAATAATTGGAAATGAAAGTCTGGGAGTTAGCAGAGTTTCTGACGTTAGAAACATTAATCAGGAAGTAATCTGCATAGAAGTTGGTAGTTAAAGGTAAGGATGCCCTTGCCAGAGAAGGGAGAAAATGACTAGCAGAAAATAAAACTTAAGAATGCTGGCACAGGATGGATTCAGAGGTGGTCATGATCAGTTGGCAAGATTAGAATGGGACCAGTTGAGTACAGAAGTAGGAGAATCAGTGGAGGAGTTTTCAATAAGGCTCAATCAACTATGGCAAATCTGGAAAAGATGTCTGGAAGGGACTGAATAATGACAATTCTATTTAGCAAATGAGGAAACAGAATCAGTGGTAGAGCTGGAGTTAGAAGAGATGAGAAGATAGTGGCAGGACAGGTGAGGCAGCCCATAGGTGTGGATTTGTCTCTACTGGAAAAAGAAAAGCTAGGACCTCACACTGGGGGCGGGGGGGAGGGGGGGAGGCAGCAAAGTCAAGACAGTACTGTGCTAAGAGAGTCTGAAATGAGACATAGGATATTATAAAAATAAAATTTATAGTATTCAGTCCATTCCTTCACCAAGTAACTATATATTTTTCCCAACTTCATTTAGGGAAAGTTAACAAATATAATTATATATTTAAAGTGTACAACATGATGATTTGATGTACAATATACATTATGGAATGGTTACCAAGATCAGGATAAGCAGCATATCCATCTGCTCACATAGTTAACTCTTCGTGTGTGTGTGTATGTGTGTGTGCTGAAATATACTTAAGATCTACTCTCAGCAACTTCCAAGTATGTAATACTGTATTATTGACCATAGTCACCATGCGGTTCATTAGATCCTCAGAACTTCTTATAACTGAAAGTTTGTACCCTTTGACCTACATGTCTCCATTTCCCCCTCCCATTTTTCCCTATAAATGTTTACTTTTTAAATTTGATCTCCTTAACTGGCTGATAATGTCTTTAGGGCTGGAACTATCATATTTCTGTTGATTTTCACACAACACATAACACCTTGGCACAGTGTAAATGCTCTTTGAACATTTTGTAAATGGTTAACTGTTTTACTTTATACTTCATAAGATCATTTAATATGTCATATATAGATCCCAATGAAAATGTGTCTACAGAGTAACTTATACCATCAAAAATGATTTGATTAGAAAATATTTCACTCTACAAGGAAATTTCCATTGCAAGATCTCTTCACTTTTTCCTCCTTCCTCCCTTTTCTCCCACCTCTTTTCTCATCCCTTTCCCTCCTCTCCTTTTTCACTGACATTGTTTCATACACTTAATATCACATCCACTAAGTTCGGAAGTTTTGCTCCTTCTAATGCTATGGACACACACTAGAAAGTCATTAGTTTATAAGTAACACAGACTCTGTTTTTCCTCAGAAGATGTATGCAACCAGTCCCTACTCCGATCCTGTTGTATCAATGGATCTGGATCCACAGCCCATCACAGATGAAGAAGAAGGCTTGATCTGGGTTGTAGGTCCTGTCCTTGCAGTGGTCTTTATCATCTGCATTGTCATAGCTATCCTTCTTTATAAAAGGTAGGTTTGCCTAATATCTCTATTGCAATCTTGGTAATCCTTCTATGGTCATTATGTGGTTACTATTAATGAAATACTTCAGTGTAGCCCCCATAATCATTGGAAGATGTTTCCATTAGATTAGAATGAAATGTAAAGATTGTGCTGTTTCAAATCCCATTCAGGTGTGGTATGGACTTTCTTGCCCAGCATTCATGGATCCTAGCCTTGGTCTTATGAGCTACTTTAAGCATTCGGAGCACTTTGCATGGCACTTTGCAAGACATGAGTACATTCACAAGCAGATAATTCCGAGCTTGCATCTGATTGCTTTAGATGATTAATTGCTCAGTGTCAACATGGTTTTAGAAATACTATTACAAATTTGCACATTTGTACCCATTCCATATGTCTAATGAGTGCACGAGCTAAGATTTTTTTCCTGTAGCTATTTCTCAAAACAGTGAAAGTAGCTAAAGTTTGAAGATAAAGGAAGGAAAAATGTGGAAGAGAATGAATTTTTTTTTCTTTCTATAACCTTTATTCTATAGTGAATTCTATTTGTGTCCAAGAAGGGGATATAAGGTACCATTTTCCTTTAAAAAACTAAAACCACAAACTTGGCCTTTATACTCCCAGGTTTTGATCCGATTTGGTGTTCTTTGACTACAATTAGGATGCAAATAATCCACATCTACCCCATGTTTTCTGATCTTCCACCCCTTTTCAATTACATTTCTGCCTCATTTATAGTAAGCTAGATTTTTCCCCTAGTCCCAGTCAGTTGGAAAGAGTACATTAGTAATTCTTTCCATAACTCCTTTCTGACTTAAAAATATATAATATTAAAATATGTAAAATTATAAAAATTAATATATATAATACATTCTCTTAAACATGTAGAATGACTAAATTCTGAATTATCTCCCTTTATGTCATTTTTTCTTTTCTTCTAATCCAAATTTTATTTTTATGAAACTTGAATCTATGTTCCCATTTTTCTTTGTAGTATGTCATCTTTCAGAATGCTACTGTGAAGATGATATCTTCCCACTACTATGAAATAGCCTCCCCTCCATAACCTTGACTTTCAAAATCAGATGAGAATGTCTTCATTTTGATTCTTGCTGACATGCTTAATCTGATAATCTTATTTCCATTAGCTCTTTTTCCTATTTATCTAGCTCTCTTCACTGGGCTTATATTAATTATTTCTACCTGTATTCTTTTGTTAAGCATGTTCTTCTTATATTCCTAGAATAGTCTTTTATTTATTTATTTGTTTAAAAAAAATATCCTTTAAGACACTTGTCCTTTGCAAAACTTTCTCTTAACAGGCTGTATTCCATTTTATTTCAGTGTAAAGAGAGGGTTGAAAAGAAAAGACAAATTAAAGAAAGAAGTTCATAACCATAACCCATTAAATTTCCTATCCTATTTTAGCCTTAAGAAGGAAAGAAATATCCATCATTTTTTTTTTCCTGATCACTGCCATCACTCAGTTATCCATACTATAAGATGGCTGAAAAAGCAAGTAATTGAAGGCCAAACTCTCTCTTAGATGATGGTTTCAATCTTCCCATCCTAATCCATAGTTTATCAGTGTGTATTTTGTTGCCTCTCTCTTGTGTAAAGAGTAAGGACAGGAAGCACAAGGTGCCCACATATGCCCCAGAACAATAACAAATCCTGAGTGGGTCCAAGCAGGAACTGGTGCTCTGTGCTATTCATGTGCTACACTTATGACCAGAAGAGAATATAATAATAAAAGACTGAAAGTAGAATTATCATTGTTTTCGGTGATACTTATTTAGGTGGCCAAATCCTACTGTGGAAGTCAGATCAGAAAGTGATTGCTGATGGTTGCATTTCTAGACCATGGCACATGACATTTTGTGATTATTCAAAATGAACAAAATGCTTGCTGTATTTTTTTAAGTTTTGTTTCATTCGGCTATATCTGGCTACCATTAAGTCATATCTGGCTATCATTAAGTCATGTCACTTAACAGAGATGTGCATGACATTTGTGAGTTATGTAAATGTGAAGAAATAGGATTATAACCTTGATAATTTTTTAAAGATTTATAATTAAGTGTTTCTTGCCTCATGTGCATGTGCTTGAGGAAAAATTCAACTTGGTTATATATTCTTTTCCAATCCTGCAAAAAGAGGCATCACGTTTAAAGATTTTATGCCTCTGTTAAAATAGAGTTGCATTTTAGTGTGTGCATATGTAAGCATCGTCTAATGCAATTGTTGGGAAATGCAGACATCCTCGAATGCTAAGTATATTTAGCCAACCATCTGAAGGCCCATGAAGCATTTCTGAAATAGAAATGCTTGCTTCAGCAGTAAAGAACATTCCTGACTTGAAATTCAAGTAGACCCAACAATGTCCTTCTTGATTATCATGAGGCAGTTCAAGAGGAAATCTTCTGTAGGCAATGAATAGTGGCTTTTATAGCTTAGATTCTGAGCAAAGTTAATTATATAATAAATACTTCATCCCTCTTTTTAGGTACCTTTCAGTTTATACATAGGTAATTGGTATGAATCAGAATTGAATATATCATTATTATCATTATTATTATTAAATATTATTAACTCACATTATCTTGATAATCCCACTTATCACACACATCTGCTTACAAAACTACTTGCCTCAGGAGTAAGTCTAGAGCTATGGATGGTTTGTTCATATAAAGAAGCATTTTTTATAGATCTGTGTGAAGAGACTGAGACTTATTCCTATTAAGTATATTGATGTGGAACTAGTGCACTCTTTTATCTGGCATTATATCTTTTGACTTTAGTTTTAATCTAGTAATTTGTAAACCTATAATACATTGATAATCAGTGTCAAAACAGCATCAACTGAGGCTTTGTAAGGCCCCTAAAATACCTGCTGAACCATAAGAAAATTAAAATATAATTGGTAGGTCTTTAGTGTGATGAATTATCTTGCCCTATGATTTTTTTAATTTTGTTCTCTATATGTGATATATACAAGCTTTCAAAATGTAAATTACAGAGATTGGATGGTAGCAAGGATTAGAAAAACACTAATTAGAAAATAAGGAATCAGGGAAACTGAGTCTTAGCTCTGTGACTAGGTAGCTAATTGGGGTAGAAAGCCATGCTAACACTCTGGGCTTCAGTTTCCTCATTTATAAAGTAAGTGGGTAGACTAGATAATTGAACCTTTTTAATAATAAAGTTCTATAATCTGACAACATAAAAACCCAAGTAATAGAATTATTCCTAAAACATTTCTGCCTCCAGTGGGTGTATGTTTTTTAAATATGACTCCAGGTTGTTCTTCATCCATCCAACCCACAAAAAAAGGAAATAAAATAATCCATAAAGCAAATGAACACTTAGATACCCATCTACATTGTACACTTGTTCTATGTGTAAGGCTTTTTAGTCATTAGTTCTAGAATGGTCTGGGAATTATTTACATAGAAGATATTTGAAAATAAAATGTTAGCCTGACTAAATGGAAAAGCATTTCAAGATGGATGAGAAATATTTATTATGTAGTGTGGAAGAAAAGAAAATAAGGATTAGGAGGTTGGAAGGATCCAAACACTATCTAAACAAAATTAACATCCTTAATTAGTAATAGTCTAACCTAAATAGGTGTTGTGGACAGAGTAAATAATTCCCATCCCCACCTGCAGATGTTCATGTATGAAAGCTATGGGATAGATGGGACTGAAACACAAACTTCAGCTTTTTAAGCTTTTCCCCTCATTCCAACATTAGCCACTCTCTGTGGACTGTCCTCATTAGTCTTCTCTTTTTGTATCAACTTTACATATATTTCCAAGATGTCATCAAAGAAAGAAATACAGATCAGGATATTTTGAGATGCTACGGAGAAGTATGTTGCCATGCCCAACCACACTGGACAATGCTGATTGATTCTGCCTTCTGGCCTTTGAGTAGATCCTTCCATATACCTGAAATGCCTTTCCTCTGACTCCCCAGCCTCTTTTCTTGGCCTGGCTAACTCTGAAACATCCCTTAGAAGTAATCTATGATGCCACCTACTAAACAAAAAGCCTTTCTGGGTGCCTTCCTCTTGCCCTGTTCTCTCTACCAGTTCAGGCTGCCCTAAGGGTGTTCCCTCGTCTATACTCTTCAAAGCACTTTCTGTTTATCGATGTCACAGAACCAGCACATTCCTGGACTTGCTCATATCCTTGTCTTTCTTGCCCCCACTAAACTGTATATCAAGGACTCTGTCATTTCCTCACTGTTATCCCTTATGCCTAGTAGACTGCATGGCACAGAGGGATATTGAGTAATCAAATTTATACCAATTGAATAGTATTAACAAACTCCAAACTCAATCCCCTCCACTTATTTACTCCATCATACAATATTACCTTCGTGTTGACTGGCAAGAGCTGTAATAAAACCTTTAGCCTGTAATTTAAATTTACAAGTTCCCATAGCCTTCAAAATTAGATACTTGCCCCAAATATATACCCATGTGTGTGGTGGGTCTGACATTTTAGTGGCAGGAGTGAATCACACACTAACTATGCATTTGTTCAATAAGAATACTCAACCTTTTAATATACAAAACTGTTAATTCACTAAGTAGTTCTCTTCCATCCAAAGAAATAGATTCTCCTACAACTGACTCACTAAAGATCTCCTTGATTAGAAATGAGCAAGCTAGTGGTGCTTAGATGGCTCAGTCGGTTAAACATCCAACTTAATCTGAGCTCATTTCGATCTCATGGTCATGAGTTCAAGCTCCGTGTTGGGCTCTATGCTGGGCATGAAGCCTACTTAAAAAAAGGAAAAAAAAAATGGGTGGCGCCTGGGTGGCTCAGTCGCTAAGTGTCTGCCTTCGGTTTGGGTCATGATCTCAGGGTCCTGGGACTGAGCCCTGCATCGGGGTCCCTGCTTCTTGGGAAGCCTGCTTCTCCCTCTCCCGCTCCCCCTGCTTGTGTTCCCTCTCTCGCTGTCTCTCTCTGTCAAATAAATAAATAACTTTTTTTAAAAAAATGAGCAAGTTAGAAACATATATTTAGTATTTTTAAAACCTGGGGCACTAGGTAAATTATTTTAAAATTAAGAATACAAAGAATTAACCAGTGTGTTTGATATCACTTTCATTAATCACTTTGTATGTGTATGTGTGTACAATTTGAATGTGGGTTTTGTATTTTTGAAAGGAGATAGACCAGATTATCTTAAAGCCAGATTCTTTAGCAACTCAGGTATGTATGTCATTGGCATTAAGGCAGACTTAGTATCTCTATTTTGGATTTGGGAACTCACCAAATACTTCGCAATTCACCTCACCATGAAGATTATTTAGATGAATTTTTTTCAGGTACAAGTTATATTCTCTGCATAAAGAACATAGTTATCTAAACAATCCACATATTATCACATGAACATGAGCTAGATGTGTTCACAGATAGCAGCACCTCTTTGACTATGAAAATATCTGTCATATCAATGGCTGGTAATGAAAGACTTTCAGGATTAGCCCAGCAATATAGGTGGGTCATGCTCTGTAGACTTATAACGATGAGTATTACTTTTTCCAAAACTGAAAATGTATTTGATCTTTTATTGGCAAAAAAGATTATGATAACCTTACTTGTCAAAAGGAGTTTGAAGAAATCATTTTTGCCACTTTATTACCTCATAGTGTATTATACCATTGTGCACATTTTTGTGCAGTTCAACGCAATTTGCAGATATTTTATATCATTAAAGGAATAACATACCTCTTAACTGAAGATTTTGTTTTAGATGAACAAATTTCTTGTATGTATTGTAAAAAACATAGTATATCTCTACCATCAAACACTTTCTGGGAAATAATTGTGGCAATATTATGTAGGTTGATGGATAAAAGTGAATGTGACATTAACATACACAGAAAAAACGCTTTAGTTAGTTATGTACCCTCATGTCCTCCATTTAATTCATAATTAGAAGCCTTTAAAGTTTTGATACACTGTCATTTCCTAATGTGTGTCATTTAATGTGTCCCTGCTTGTGAGCGGTGCTTCTTAAATCTTGGTTGTCATAGTGACTCTTGTTATCACTGGCCAACTAACATTTAGCCTTTCTTTTTCTTTTTTTGCTGCATTAAAATGGAGCAGTAAACCTGACAGGTGAGGAATAGAGAACAAGCCCCTTTAATGCTCAGTAATAGATAACCGGTAGCCTTTGGAAGAGGGGGTGAGGGTGGAGGTTGGATATAAAAGGTATTACCTGGCAAGTGGAAGATGGACAAAGCTTAGTTTATAAAATATTAAAATGATTGATATTAAAATGATTCTGAAGGAAATAAATTAGTTTGTCTATATAAAAATAAATAACAAATTATCCAAATTTAGAAAGTAATGAAACCAGTCTGAACTTTGTTTTAATGAGCCTTTGTATGTGTTAATGTGTCTACAGAACAGAAATGTGAGGTGTCCCATAAAACGTTTGTTTTGTTTTGTTTGTTTTTACTCAAGACCGATTTTTAAGTTTGATCTGAGGTCACCTCCTGATACAGGAACGCTACTGGCATTTTCATATCCTGCAAATATTGGTGGCCGTGCCTTTGTGAAAACTCTTACAGAGTTTCAAATTATTTTCCACGTTTTCCAGACTCAACTAATAATAGCAGAAGCAGCAATAGTAGTAGTAGTAGTAGTAGTAATAATAATAATAATAATAATAATAATGGTAAGACTAGCTATCTCTGTGATTATTGAACGACTCGTTCAATCTAACCTTCTACCTTTCTAACTTATATCTATCTATCATCTATCTATCTATCTCTCTATCTATATTTATATCAATAGATACAAATTTCTGATAAGACTTAAACTAAGAAAAGGGTCTCTGTGCTCATCTCAACTGCCTTCCTCCCAATGCTGTATTCCAGTAGTTTCCAATGCTTGTTCCCTGGACCAGAAGCAGAAACATCAGCATCACCTGGGAACTTGAGAGAAGTAGAAATTCTTGGACTCCCTACCCCAGACCTAATGAATCAGAAACTCTGGGTGTGGGTGCAACAGTCTGCAGTTTAGTAAGCCCTCCCACGTGATTTGGCTGCATGCTAAAGTTTGAGAACCATGGCTGTATTTTTTTCCCTAAAATCAGTTAAACACTGGTCAGCAAGCTACTTTCATTGATAGAAAACTTAGCACTTCGGTAGGGTGTTGTTTTTTTTTTTAATATCACTTAATCCAGCTAAAAACACATGCAAAGTAGGTTTGTTTTTTGTTTTGTTTTTTAGTTGAAACACAAAACACTTTAAACCCATTTAATATACTCAGAGATCTACCTTCCCATTTAATACTGTCCACATTTTATAACATTATCACTGCCTTCTGGTTCCATTAAGATGAGAGAGTTGGCTCTCTTTTTTTTCAGAATCACTAATTAAACATTTATTGCATATTCAAAATACTAAAAATGAGTTTATAATTTTCTTAATTAAATGATAGTTTATGTATTATGCTTTGGAATTATCTAAGTCATATGTGGGTAACTTTACAAATGCATACATCTAATGTATACATGAAAGGACTAGAAATTTCCTTCAATAACTTTATTCTTTATAAAATATATAAATTAAAAAAAAAACAATTCAACTTCTAAGAATCACAACATTTAACCTAGACATCATCTCCTAACCTTCTTCTTCTCTTTTGTACATGAAGAAATTGATAAGTATTATAGTTGACTTCCCCAAGAAGATACACACCAGTAGTGGCAGAGTGGGGTTGCATTCTTAAAGGCATCAGAATCATAAAGTGTTGGGGCACCTGGGTGGCTCAGTCGTTAAGCGTCTGCCTTTGGCTCAGGTCATGATCCCAGGGTCCTGGGATAGAGTCCCGCATAGGGCTCCCTGCTTGGCGGGAAACCTGCTTCTCCCTCTCCCACTCCCCCTGCTTGTGTTCCCTCTCTCGCTGTCTCTTTGTCAAATAAATAAATAAAATCTTAAAAAAAAATCATGAAGTGTTTGAACTGACTTCTTTGAATATTAATAGTAGGGATTTCAGATAAATGTATCTGTCTTCCAAAAGGCTTGGCCCATATGTCTGAATATCTTTGTTCTCAATAAGTAGATTCCCTCCCACTTTATCCCTAGGTGAGAGCCAGGTGAGAATAAATGAAAATAAAAAGCCCCTTAGACCACAGAGTAGCATTTTTGTTATACATGATCCACATTCCAAACTACCACACATTTTTATACTACTAGCAGTTTCCACCATATCTGAAATGTCATGTAACCTTGCATTTCCTTTTCACCCATATAACTCCTACATGTGGCAGATATTTCTCTCTGCAGGAAATAACACTTACAATAGGACTTTATAATCTTAATAGAAAAAATAAAATAGCAAGGCAAAATTCAAATCATTTTGGAGTTACTATTCTTTGCTTTTTTCCTCACTGAAAATGAGAATAATGAGACCTCTGAAAACTTAGGAAAAACGTGTGACTACGTCCATTCATGTTGGCCCTGATTTAAACCATCATATGCCACTTAATACACTATGGCAGTAAATTCTATTTTTGAAGCTCTTTACCATTATTACCAATGATGACCAAACTCTTCATTCTGCAAACATTTCTTAGAAATCTTTTCTGTTGGAAAACAACCATTTTAGCACATTTATGTTTAAAAATAATGTGACAAAAGTGTGGGCAGCCAGAATTATCCATGTTATGATCACCAGAACTAAACTAAGCAAAACAAAATTGAAACAGCTGGTTTTCTGAGATGGTTAGGATTTTTAGAATCTGAGATTTTGGAGGTCATTTCTTTGAACAGATAAAGTGAGGAAGAAGTTAGTTGTTAAATGTCAGGGAAACACCCCCTCCCAACTTTATCACAATTATAAACTGCAATTTTAGTCCCAAGCTCTGGGTTTTGAGATTCCTCTGGGCAACAAGGTGTGATGTTCACCTTTCCTAGCACCAGAGAAACAGACTAAATTTCTTTAGAGAGTATTCTTTTCTGTCCCTTTGTCTCAGCATCACTCAGCCTGGCCTCAGTGAAAAAGAAGATAAGGATTATGCCCCACAATACCTGCAGGAGTGACCTAGTTTCCTTGCCCAGAAATTTCTCCATCTGGTTCCATAATCCTGCAAGAATGACAGTGGAGACACTTTGAGAAGGGATAAAAATCCAGGTTTGAATCATTAGGTCTGGCACATCAGTAAAGAAATGTATCTGTGCTGACTCGTATGGGGAAAAACAAACACACAAACCTAAGAAGGGCCCCTGGGGTTCCCTGAAGTGAGAATAACCAAGCATATGTTTGTTACACGTGGGACTGACTGACTAGCAGTTGGTGGCATTTCATTAGCCTGTTTAGATTCTGTATCTTTGGTGGTAAAATGAATCTCTTTGAGGGAAATACCCACAGCCTAAAGACAGGGACATTTTCTACTCTGAAACTGGTCACCATATCCTTCTTTCACATACTCTTTCCCTTTCTTCTCCTATCTTTCTTGCCAGCCCTCAGCTCTGATTTTCTGTCTGTTCTCATTTTCCACTCCATACAACTGGAAGGGTCAGTACTTTTGGCACGCCTCAGATTCACTGCTCACTCCGATTGGTAGTATAGCTTGGCAGTACATTCTGTCCTCAGGCTATACCTGACAAGTTTAGGTAGAAACGGGAAATCCTGAGACAGGTTAATGCAAGGTTCTGAGAGAGGAAGTTGTCTAACAGGACTCACCCAAGAAAATGTATTCCATCAATGCCGTTTTGCCGAAGGCATTGCACTTGAGCAAATCAAGTGTGCTTTCCCTCTGCATCAATCTTCCCTTCATCCCCTGGTTAGTTTTATTTTATCCAGATGAGCAGAGATGGAAAGAAAGGCTATTTAACAGGAGCCCTCTGGCTAACCATGGAACGACCTGGGTGGCACTGAATGAGAGCCCATTGCCACAGCAACACTAATGAGCTGTGCGACAGTCATATCAGAAAGAGAAGGGAGTGTTCCTCAACACCGCTGTGCCCTTTTCCCCAAAGAAGAGTGTCTTTGTTTTGAACAAGGGTGAGATGCTAGGATTATGACTGCAGCCCGGAGATTGTTGGAATCAGTATTCGAATAATAAATACAGAATAAAGCACTGCTTGAAAAGTCCTCCATTTCTTCAGTTTTTGACCTAATTTAACCTTAAAGAATATAGGTAGCACTCTGTGTTTGAGGGGTTTGAAAAAAATGAATAAGAAATCTTATTAAAAAAAAAAAGAAAACCCTGACCTTTCTTGCATAGACACTTGTTAATACTACATTATCACACCCTAAACAAAGGTATTTAATAAAAGTTGTAGATAGTAATTAAAACAAAGATGAAATGAATTGTGTGAAGAATTACTTATAACAAGGCACTATTAATGGTTCCTATGCCATGAATAATCATTGGAAAAGTGAGACACAGTAGGTGAAATTACTTTTTCTCTGGTCTTTCTGTGGTTGACTTTCATTAATGAAATATTAATCACAGCTTAACACTACAAACAGCCAACACTATTTTTTTTTTAATTTGAAAGAGAAAGGAGATGTTGGTCTTGCATTGTGCTAATTCTCCTTCCGGGTGTTAGGCTAACTTGGAATCTTAGAACAAACTGTATTTGTCTGCCTAATGGGAATATCCAATGCAGGCCTCTTTGTAGCCATCAGTCATATAATCTTGGAAAGAGGAAAAAGGGAGTATGGATTTAGCTCTTCAGCTTGAGGCTCAGTAGTTTCAGAGGTTTTCTCTGTGGTAACCACATTCATGGCTATTGGAACTCTATTAGCATTGACTGTTAGTGGTACTCTGTCCTGTTCCTCACAAATTGAACCAGTGGATAAAGGAGGTTTGCTGAACAGGGACTCAAGTTTCTCTCTCCAACACCCCCCTTAAAGCCTAAAGGTAGAGGTAATGAAGAATTTAATTCTAGACAAACTTTGAGATCATTCACTTAAATAAAAGTTTTAGACTTGAGGAAACAGTCTAGGCCAAGAGAGGAAAAGCAACCTGAACAAGGTCACAAAGCTGGTCTGTCAAATGGTTTAAAATAGAAAGTTGGGAGGGAGAGGGGGCTGCGTGACTCTTTGCTTTTTAAGTGTTTTTATTGCTTTTTTATTTTATTCTTACATTTTTCTTTTCTCCCTATAGGAAGAGGGCAGAGTCTGACTCTAGAAAGAGCAGCATACCCAACAGTAAGGAGGTCCCTTCACACCATCCAACAGACCCAGTAGAACTGAGGCGCCTTAATTTTCAAACACCAGGTAAGAGGCAGGACTCAGCTTGTCCATAATACAGTATTTGCTGAAAGTTTTTTGGCCAACTGATATTGTTCTGAGAGATAAATACATCTCTTTATCTAGAACAATTTTGTTTATCGTGATTTTAATTGTAATATTATTGAGATTCACCATACATAAGTCTTGAAAGGAAAGTTCTTTTTGCAAATCTGAGGTGGAGTAGACAAGAGAAAACATGTAATTCATCTTCAAATTTTGGAAAAACTATAGTCTTGCAAGAATATCTACCATTTGGGGGGTTTAACACAGTTTATTATTTTTAATGACATCTATCTGGCAAGAATACAGTTTCTCATAAAGTGAATGAATGGGTGGATGGGTGTTGCATCATTCATTCCATGGGGAAAGAATAGATTTATTTTGTATTTTCCTATTAATTTGCGTCTATGTTTCACTGAAGAAAGGTGGGGTAAGAGGGAAAGAAACAAAGTGAGGCAAAAATTAGTTTCTTTTAAAAAATTACCTATACTTCATATAACTGGCCAATTTAGGTTTCTTGTGGGGAGGCACATAAAGTGATTGAGGTTAAGAAAAATATACTTGTTTCTTAAAGAACATTAAGTGCTTCAACAGAGCAAACATGTCATTCCTGCTAAGGGGCATTTTGTACAGTATTATTAATTCGAGGCTAACTTTATTTTGCTTTCTTTCAAGTAAATTTTATTTATACCAAATGAGTGGAAAATCATAAGTAGTAAAGAGATAGAAAAACATAAAACTGAGTGGCACTGTCATAATACCTAAGGATAATTAAGAAAGTAAAGAACTGATCTAAAGTCTGATTAAAATTTGGTTATGTTATTGTTCACCAAATTGTTGGCAAATGTGTCAAATGGACTTCCTAACTCACAGTAGGATACACTACAAATTTATTAAACTACGCATTTGCAGTGAATTACTTTGACTTGAATACAACGTATTGTGTTTGGCATATTTTCTCTTTTACATGTAGACGTATCATAGTAACTAGTAACAATTCAGTTGAAAGAAGCATCTGGCATTTTCAAAGTGGCTATACAAATCATCATCATAAATGTGGGTCATTTTTAAAGTTCTATCTCAAAGGAGGTTAGACTTTTTAAAAATCAGGTTTTTTTTAAAAGCAAAGATATACCTCCAACAGCATAAAGGTAGAAGAAAATGTTCATGTAGCCAAAAATCTCCTGTATGTATTTTTTTTAAAGACTGATAAATGTGGACTATGCACGTGTGATGATGATTAAACAAACCTATGCAGTCTTCTGGGATTGTTGTAGTCTCGTAGATGCTCCCTGTTGAGTCTTTATCTAGCTATCCCATTAAGGCAACTGGATATGATTTGAGTTTCTGTAGTAAACCTTCTCAGTTCACTTTCTGAAATAGTAGTGTACTACTTCTTTAGGCTATAGGCAACTTCATAATAATGGACCCAGGAATTCATGCACTTTTCAATTTGGCCAAACCAATGTATAGAGGACCTAAAAGCCACATAGATGATGTGTTATAGGATTTCTTTACAAAAGCAGCACATTGTGGAAATAGAGAATGACTGTTATTTTGCTGCTCTGCCCTGACGCTTCTGGCTTTTATGTGAGGTGTGATCTGTATTGGAAACAACCTTGGTCTTCTAGTAGAGACAGAAGCATAGCATAGGGTGAATGGAAAGTCAAAGATAGCCCCAGAAGAAAAAGAGCAGTAAGAGTGCTCTCCCTCATCTATTCCAGCACCAACAGAGTATGTTTCCAGGCATAAATAGGAAGCATGAATGGGAACTGTGTAGAAAGGATTATTAGCAGAGTGCTGGCAACTACAAACAAGGAAGGGAATAGAAATGACTTCAACCAAGAGACCTCCATTTATTAAGTACTTCTCGCTTTTATGGGCAATTTTGCAAATATGGTCTAATAAAAAAAAGTTTATAAAGAATCTAATTTTCCCAGTGTATGTGGGAATATGAGATCCATTTATGGAGAGAGCTTGTTAAATTTCACAGAAGTCGATGGAAAGGAGAATGAATGTTGCAGTTGAAGGGACATTGCTTATCTCATCAATAGATTTACAAAACTGAAATGGGGGCCTAAGTTTATAGGAGGTATCATTTAATGAAGGTTAGACTTATTACATCAAATGGGTAATGAAATAAAGTGGGCAAAATCAATAAAGAGGGAGAAAGGGGTTTAATAGAGGAAGAAAATAGAACAGGAGATATTGTCCTAAGGTCCTAGCACATCTGCTCACTGAGGAAGCACTGTGTTGTGCCTTTTAGCTCAGGTAAGCAATCTACTTGAGCTTGATTTATTGAAACAGTCTATTTACCTCCCAAGCTCCCAGGTCTGCTGTCCTGAAAATTTCACCAGTTGACAAAGAATATAGACTCAGCTATTAATGTGAAATTCATAATAATGTGACCATTTGCTTCAGCCAGTACAGATTCTAAGCAATGGCTACAAATCGCCTTAATTACTTGCCAATAGGATAATAGGTAGCGTTGTTAACCAGATAACATTTTTGTACTTTTTCCTCTCCTCTTGTTCACAAATAATCAATGGCTTTCCTGCCTGATGCAATAAAATGATCCCTTTACTAGGTGTTGCACAGCAAATGATATGATGCTCCTTAATTTTTGGATTTTAAACCCTCTCACTGTCTGAAATGTGCTTTTATATACATCATACCTTTGGAAGTAAAATTGTTTATCCACAAACATAAATTTTGACCATTCTTATTAATGGTATGCATAAGTAGGGAATTAATCACCCACACCTTCACTCCAAACCAATGACTTTCAATGAAATAAAAAACCTGTGATTCATGTATCAGCCCCTAGCCACCTGAACTTGTTCATGAAAGCAAGTTCACTTCCACTTCCGATGGATCTGTTGAGAAAGATAAAATACCAAACAAAGACTTCCATTTGAAATGGAAGGTATTTCAGAAGGTAAAGGAAGCACATCATTTAGTTCACTAATTCTATAAATTATACTTTTGTTTTAAAAAAATATCTTGGGAATGGAAAAACTATTTACTTTTTAAGTATTTCTTGTTGAAGAGCCTAGAATATAAGGAGGCAGATGATTTTCCCTCAATTCTACCCCTACTCCAAAGGTATTGAAAATACATTCCAAAGTCCATATAAATACAGTATCCTGAAAGTTTAAATACTTCAAAGAAATATGCCCTTCACTGCAATACTACAGACACACCTATCACCAGTTCAGGAAAAGGAAACATCAGATTCCTGTCCACTGTCTCTCCACTAAGGCACCAAGTAAAGGCAGAGAAATCTGTTGTTTTCAGTAGAACCATCTTTGCAAGGTTGTGAGAAAAAGAAAAACATTGCTTTAGCACACTCTCCAAATTTTGGATGACAGTCTAGTCACTGTATTGGTGAAACGCTATATTCAAGCATCTGAACAGGGCGAGGAAGGCTAACACCCTCAGGAGAGCGGGTAGTACTCTGTTTGTAGGTGTTTCCCATGAATATGCTTATTAGCCGGAATACTGTCTGTTAGAGTTGACAGTATTCAACTCATTTATATTTAGAACCTAAACTACACAATCTATTAAAAAATAGATAGTTGGCAATAATTAGTCATCATTTATTGTTACACTGGGTCAGTAAGAACTAGTATGAAACATGCAATTCAAATACCATTGTTTGTATCACCCATGACCTGCAAAATTAGAGTCCTAAGTGTATAAGAAGGTATCATTTAGCTAAAGTTAGACTTATGACTTCAAATGGAAAACTGAATAAAATGAGAAAAGGAAAGAGATGTTGTCGAAGAATTTGATAGACTTATTAACTGCTAATCAAGTTTTACAAGTCTGTAAGCTCTACAGAGGAAGGGGAAATACCCACTTATTAAAAGATGGTTTTAGGGGAGCCTGCGTGGCTCAGTTGGTTAAGCAACTGCCTTCGGCTCAGGTCATGATACCAGAGTCCCGGGATCGAGTCCCGCATCGGGCTCCCTGCCCGGCCGGAAGCCTGCTTCTCCCTCTCCCACCCCCCGCCTGCTTGTGTTCCCTCTCACGCTGTCTCTCTGTCTCTCTCTGTCAATGAAATAAAATAAATAAAATCTTTAAAAAAAGATGGTTTTAAAATAAACCTCTATTAATCCTCATACATCTTTGTGGACAGCAGTAGCTGGGTGTGCACTAAGATGAGTTGATAGATGAGTTACATGTTAAACCAAAGTGAACTGTGTCCATTAGCCTAGGTTGGGAGGAAAGTTCTTTTTGTGTGTAAAAAAATGTTTCCAAGTCTTCTTATAACCTGTACCTCAAATAATTCTTGTTAATTACAAAAGCAACACACATTTATTGGAGGAATTGTGTAAAGTAGAAAATAATCTTGTTAACAATTGTACATAGGTTGTGGCTACACAGGTGTTCATTATAGTAAATATTTTGTATGTTTGAAAATTTTCATAAATTGGAAAAGGTGAAAAAAGCACATTTAGAAAATAGAAATTACTCTTTATCCCCCCACTTCTTATTTTTCTTCTTTTTGAGGGGAGGCATATTTAAAATATAAGTAAAAGATTCCCTATAACTACTCCAAATTTCCCCCTCAGGAATAGTTACCATATACAGCCCCATGATATGCTTCCAGATTTTTTCACATGTATATACAATTCTTTAATTAATAAAAATGTATAGCAGGTCTATAGACAGACAGGTGATATACATAAAATTTCCTGTTTTAACATTTAACTACATAAACATAGACCTTTTTCCAAGTTAGTGTATTAGGTTTTATCTCCTTCTTAGCAGCCAGTGGTATTGATGCTATTCTCTTCTACAGATGACACAAAATGTATTGACTCATTACGTATTAATGGAAGCTATTTTCCATGTTTCACTCTTGCAAATAATACTGCAGTAAGCGGTACAGAGAGCACACATCTTTTCACATCTTTGTTGCTACCTCGAAATATTAGACACCTGGAAATGCAAGTACAAGGTCCTAGGGTAGGCACATTTACCATTTTGATAGAGATTGCCAATTACAGATTTTTTTTGAAATATTGTAAAAAGCCTTTACTTACAGTGTGGCAGCCCCTCTGAGCCCTGGCCTCCAGCATTGGACAGAAGACTAAAATAAATATAATATCATCAAAAGATGATGATATATAAGAAAACCAAAGAAGCTACTGATATGTGTTCATATATCTACTTTTTCCCAAAAAAGCAAATTTAGAACTTCAGCATCTCAGAGAAATAAGCTTTCTTTCTAGTACAAAGGTGTAAGGGAACATGTAACTAATAGCATCATGTAGTAAGCCAGTCAGTACCTTTCTCTGTGCCTATGAAATTCTTCCTCTCTGCAGCCTTTTGGTTGCCTTGTCAGTTTCCATCAGAAAAGTTCTTTTTTTTTTCTCCTGTGAAATTGTTTCTTCTAGTATTTGTACCTCTTTCTCACATCCCTCTCTCTGCACCCCCCCCAAAAAAAACCCACAAAAAAACCTTCAAACAAAAACAACAAAAAACTCCAGGATTTGTGCTTCCACCTTTTAAGAAAATAAATTTAAAAATTGATAATCAGATGTTACAACTTTATGTTGTTACTTATGACTTATTAACTGCTAATCAAGTTTTACAAGTCTGAAACTTGTAAAACTTGATTAGCAGAACAGAATGAAAGCCTCGTTTTCATTCTGAGGATGACCTTAATATGTTTTGCCCTAAAGCATACATGGATGGTAGGTGATTGATGGGCTGTGAAAAACAGTAACAAACTGGTAAAAAGTTATCATATCAGAAATAGCAGTATCAGCTATCTCACTTACATGAGAACTGTGCCCAAGAGACCCTTCTCTGTTGTTCCATATGTTTAGACATCCTGTCTACAGGAGGTAGAAGTGAGAGTTATAAAGAAGGAAGTGACTCCAGAAGTTACCTGGCTCTGCAGTTTTATTTTACAGATAAAAAATTGAGGTTCTTGATAGCAGGTGATTTGTCCCTATTAGTAGATGGCAAAACCAGAAGAACACTTATCCATATTCTAGTCTAGGATTCCTTCTCTTGTACCATCAGAATCCCACATATTCTCCTCCTCTTTCCATGAAACATCCATTCTGCCATTTTTACTTGTCCTAGAATTGTGATGGAACATGATACATATTGATGTGTCTTAAACAATGATTCTTGAATGCTGTGCTATCTTTGCATATGATATATACATACTGATTTAGAAGATAAGTCAGTATAGGTTTACTTGGATTTCTGTATAATTAGCTTCCAAAGTAAATATGTTGATCACATCTTTGGTTGATTATTATGGTCTTCTACTGCTGTTATACTAATACTTTTCCCATCTCCAACTGGCTTTACTTTTTGCAGCTTTGAGCAGTAATTCAGTCCCCTACGCCTCCCTGATTGGCTCTGTGTCCTCCCTCTCTAGCCAAACCACCACTCAGTCCATATATGATAATAACTCTCTCCCACGATTCGCTCGAAAAGGTCTAAACATCTTTGTCTCTTTATTTTCTCTGTTAAAGCACTGTAATGGATGTCTACATCAGTCCATTTCCATTTCCAGATAAGCCTAGAGTCTCTTGTGCCTTTGCATTTCCATTCTTGTCATTGGGGGTGCCTCATCTGGATAAGATCACTTTAACTATTAGACCACTGTCACCCACCTATTCCCTCCCACAGAATATAAATTAGTTCAATTCTACCACCTTTATGGAAAAGTTCCAGAAATGGGCTCCAACATTTTGGTTCAAATACATAATTATATCTGCAACAAAGAGTTTCTATTTCTAAGCCAACTCATTTTTATGGGATCTTCCATTAAGATTTTAGTTGACTGGAAGCTATAAACACTAAAACACCACTTATTATAACAGTGTACTAAAAGGATTGTCTGGAAGAAGCAAAATAGTTTTTTACTTAACTTACCAGAACCATTGATAATTTGACATTTGAGATAATGGAACTTACTAGGTGGCTTTCAATAAATGGCACAATTTCTAAAACGCCCATAAAATAATCACATGTCTTGTTGACTTATGGTCACCGTTCCATAGCCTAATACCTTCCAAAGAGTCCCAGGACAGCAGAATGTCAACTTGGCTTCCAGTTTGAGCTCCTCCCCCATTCTTTTTCAGCTCCAGAAGCTTCCCTGGGGGCATGCTAGTTCAAGTTTTTCTAGCCAGCTGGAATTTGTACCCATAAGACATGAGTCAGCGATGCTCTCTCATGGTATTCTTAAAAATTTAATCACAAAGAAATGAAATGTAAATCACATGAAAAGTGAAAAAACATTGGAAAGACACAGGAATCACCAAAATTAGTGGTGGATTATTTTTAACAGAATCTGTGAAACATATCACTTCAGCTGGCAGACTGAACTAAGATGTGCTGTCCCTGTCACTGCTTTCTTTCTTTTTCCATCCCCTTTCCCTCCTTGTCCATTCACCATCTGCTCACTCTCCTGCATTCATTTCCCATTTGTGGACAAAGATGTTTACACCTGAAGTAGATTGTAGGTTTGCTGGGGTTGAAAAATGGGGACCTGGGGCAAATACCACAAAACTGTTAGTGTGGCCATTTATAAATGTCCAGGTGAAGGCCACAACCCCAACCTCTACAATCTGCTACTAGTGGAAACATTTTTGAAACTCAGTTTGGTGTCTGATTTTGTCATCAGTGATTATCGTCTATGAACTGTGGTGCATGTCATTCTTTGTGTCCATGTTTGCATGTGAATGTCAGTCACCTCCAGGTTTGTGAAATATTAAAGCGATCTTAATCAAGTCACAATGTCTAGTGAATCCTGTAAAAATGTGCAACATTTTTATCAGTCCTTTAAAAAAAGTATATCAGACTATCCATTTCATTTTTTTAACAAATTCGTTCTATTTTATTTTATTTACATCATCATTTCCTTTGCAGGTTCAGATGATTCCGGTTACCCTGGTAACCTTCATTCTTCAAGTTAGTTTCCCTTGATTATGCATAAGTCACTTTATGTTTCCTATCAAGCTACTACTCTTTCCCTTTTAGGTCTTTCTCAGTGTCTGTTTTCTTAGTTCACTTTACACCATTTAATTCCACACAATTTCCATTTCACACAGTGCAGGAGAAGGAGTTTGAAATGACATAACAGTCATTACTCAAAGCAGAAGTTGACATCAAGCCTGACTGTCAGTTTTCTCCGCTCTAACCATATTGATTCATAGCACAATAACGCTTTCTTTTACACTAGGAGTGTTAGTTTGGGGATTATGCTTGGTGACTTTTCATTTGGCTACAAAATTCATCCTTCCAGAGCATGTCCTGCTTTGAGTAACCAAACTATCTGCCTGCTTGCTCACATTAAACATCTTTACTACTCACATATTTTCAGGCCATTTCTAACTATAGTATTCTCTATATTTTGGAATAGTCACCATTGTTTTGCATTTGTTTTCAAATGTGTTTCTTCTTTCCTTTTAATAGGTATGGCTAGCCATCCTCCAATTCCTATCTTGGAACTTGCAGATCACATTGAAAGGTTGAAAGCAAATGACAACTTGAAGTTTTCCCAGGAATATGAGGTATTTCAGTGCATTTATACTTGCAAGTAATTTTAAGAGTTGTCCCTGTCTTCTGTTCTTAAAAACTAACTTCACTGGTGTTTTTTCTTTAAAACATGACTATGAATCAGATATAGAATTTGGTAGTAAATAGGCAACTTAAAAGTGTCTGTAAAATCAATATAGTAGTTGCAGTTTTAAGATGTGTTGAATATCTGATATTCAATGTTACTTAATGAGGTTGATTTTTCTTTTCTGGTTTTTAGTTCATAGAATATATTGAATTGATAAACTTCCTTGTATACCAGATGGGTGCTAAATACACTAATTCATGGCCAGAAGCTTCCCTGAAAAAGAGAGTTGACAGGGAATAAGTCGATTTCTCTGTATACTTAGTTTTCCTTGACCCTAAAACCCTTTAATTATGTACACAACGTATATGAGCATGATTTTAGCTTTCAGTCTTAAAATAATGCCAGAATTAATATTAAGATAGTAATATGTTCCTGAAAAGTTGCCTATTTTTGAAGCAATGGTGAACTGAATAGTATCTTAAAATTCCAGAATCCTTATAAGTTCTGTGTGAATTCTTGATGAAAGTGAATGAAAAGTCTTTGTATATTTGTGTGTATTTGGACATTGTGGTATTTATCAAGTAGAAAGTTTTAAAATTGGGTATTTCTGATATTCCCCAGCAATAGGGACTCATTCTAAAACCAACTCATGAATTGATAACTAAACCATCATTATTCTTTTAGGTCAAATTTGACTTAGCATAAGATTAAAAGGTAAAACTAGAGTCTTGTTGTGCCAAACAACAAAAGATTGTTGGGTACTGATCAGTCCAAATACTTCCATAAAGAGTTTCTATTGATTTACTTAATGGGAAAGTCTTAAAACACATCCCTGTTACCCTTTTGGTTTCTGTTGTATCAACTTTTTTTTTTCTTAAGTTTTTATTTAAATTCTGGTTAGTTAACATACAACGTATTATTAGTTTCAGGTGTAGAATTTAGTGATTCATCACTTACATACAACACGTAATGCTCCTCACAACCAAGTGCCTGTTGTATCAACTTGAAATGAGGCCGTTGGATTAGATGGTCTCTCAGTTCCCTACCAGTTCTAACATGCTTAAAGGATTCTTTTTTTTTAAGATTATTTATTTATTTCAGAGAGAGAGAGATTGCACGTGCGCGAGGACGTGCACAAATAGGGGAAGGGACAGAGGGAGAGAATCTTCAAGTAGACTCCCTGCTGAGCGTAGAGCCCATTGCAGGACTCCATCTGAGGATCCACGAAATCATGGCCTGAGCCAAAACCAAGAGTCAGATGCGTAATCGACTGAGGCATCAGGCACCCTCAGTTCTAACATTCTACCCTTTCAGTGAGAATCTCTAAGAGGATCCCCAACCTCAAGTGGCTCTATGGGTTTCAAGTATGTGAAGAAGGTCCATGTAAGAAAATCTGGAGTAGTGGGGCCTGTGGCTATCTGGATATTTGCATGGACTTTCTGAAGTCTTCAAATTGTCACTTTTTCATTATTTTAAATTAGTGTGCGAAGCAAAACATATCTGTAGCCCGATGGACCTCCACCCTTAAGATCCAGGCAGGCTTTGGGCGCCTGGGTGGCTCAGTTGGTTAAGCGACTGCCTTCGGCTCAGGTCATGATCCTGGAGTCCCGGGATCGAGTCCCGTATCAGGCTCCCTGCTCAGCAGGGAGTCTGCTTCTCCCTCTGACCCTCCCCCCCTCTCATATGCTCTCTCTCTCTCTCTCTCAAATAAATAAATAAAATCTTTAAAAAAAAAAAAATCCAGGTAGCCTTTTTTATTCAATTTGAATATCCAGCATCTTTGTCAAATATTCAGTAAGACACAAAGGGACTTTATTTTTCTGATTGGCTAAACTATATATTTTTTTTATTCTCTTCCCAGCATTCAGAGGAACACTTTTAATTTTAGGAAACTCACACTGGATTGTGAATTGTGTTATTTTCTCAAATGGTCTCCTTCTTATTCCTTCCCTGTTCTACTTGGCCATAATGGCTATTTTTAAATTATGTAGTATTTTTTAAAACAGTTTCTGTAGGTTCTAGTTTGGGGCTTGAGGCTGCAAATTGAGTTTTTAAAAAAAAGAAAACAAGGCAGATGATATGTGCTACCTGGAGCAACATAAAAAACTCTTAGAAATCTTTTACCTTTCCAACCTGCTCTTTACTGTTATCATGATTCTTCTTATTCTCTTGTTATGTGATATATTTCCTTCATGGCCCCACTTTAATGCTTGATTTTGAATGATATAATGGGTCACAAAAAATTAAAAATTGATAGCTCAACCTAAAAGTCAGTAATTCACTCACTACCAATATAACTTTAAACCATTGACAATATTTGCATCACTCAAGAAATCTGTTATATAGGGCGCCTGGGTGGCTCAGTCGTTAAGCGTCTGCCTTCGGCTCAGGTCATGGTCCCGGGGTCCCGGGATCGAGTCCCACATCGGGCTCCCTGCTCAGCAGGAAGCCTGCTTCTCCCTCTCCCACTCCCCCTGCTTGTGTTCCTGCTCTTGCTATCTCTCTCTGTCAAATAAATAAAATCTTTAAAAAAAAAAAAAAAGAAAGAAATCTGTTATATACATTGACTACAATAACCAGCCTCCTTTTAAAATGGAATTTCTCTAGAAATACTACATGTAAAGATACTGTAATGATACTCATTTAGCCTTTAAATCAGAAGTGTTCCTTAAAAGTAGTTATGAACTGCATGCTGCCAATGTTCCCATTAAAAACTCCCCCAGTAGCCATTGACATGATAGCCCACACTGACTTTTCACCATTTATCATGACGATGGTCTGTGATTAAAGCTCCCTGGGCATGAATTGACTCTACTGTGCCTTAACAGCCATGAAGGAGATATTTAAATGTTTTATTCATCTGTGATAATAAGATAAAGACCTCTATATAATATTTTGGGCCACAGACCAACACTTTGAAAAAAAAAATTGTATTTTACTTGTTATCTTCCATATAAATTTGAATAGATTTTTTTTACTAGTTTTAGGTGAAGAAAATGGAAGACAAGGCACATTATCTTCAAACATCTAATTATTTTGGCATAATCACTGTGAATTAATGATTACTCAGACCTCTCAACAGGCATGAAACTAAATTTGATACTCTAACTCTAAGACGGAAACAGAGGTTAAAGACATGGAGGCTGCTTACACTGATTCTGAGGTCAGAATAGGAGGAAGCAGACTTAGATTTGCCCAGCATTATTAAATCATGTGAGAACTTCCTTTATTGTAAAGGAAACTGGGCTCAGACATTGGATTTAATGACAGCTGGAAGAAGAACCTGAGAAATTAGTAGCAAGAGCACTCCATCTTGAAAATATTTATAAATAGCTCTGGTTTCATTTTCTGATATGAGACTGTAAAGTTTTACTAGAATTTAAGGAGCCAGGATTTGAGGATGACATCTAGAATGCAGGGAATAAAGTTCTCCTGACATTTGGTATCTGTCAAAGCCATCGCATGAGCTGGTGAATCTTTGAACAGATTCAGAATAGTATGTATAGGTCTTACCAAACAAATTAGCTAATGACTGTGAATCTTTTGGAAGCCTAATTAAAATTCAGATTTCTGGTCCCAACACCAAAAATGCTGATGCAGTAGGTCAGCCATGACAACCAGGAATATCTGTTTTATTTATTTTTTCCAGTTTTATTGATATGTAATTGACATATAACTTTATACTAGTTTGGGGTATACAACGTAATTATTTGATATATGTGTATATATTAAAAAATGGTTACTGCAATTAGTTTAGTTAACATCTATCACCTTACAGAATTACAAATTTTTCTTATAGGAACTTTTAAGATCTACCTTCTTAGCAACTTTCAAATATAAAATATTGTTAACTATTTCCATCATGTTGCAAGTTATGTCCCCAGGACTTATTTATCTTATAACTGGAAGTTTTTACCTTTTAACTACCTTTACGCTTTTTCCCCATCCCCTACTCCACCCCAACCTCTGGCAGCCACCAATCTGTTCTCTATTTCTGTGAGTTTGTTTTTTTAAGATTCCACATATAAGTGAGAACATACAGCACTTATCTTTCTCTGTCTGGCTTATTTCATTTAGTATATTGCCTTCAAGATCCATCCATGTTGTCACAAATGTGACATCAATGGACACTTAAGTTGTTACCATGTCTTGGCTATTGTAAGTAATGCCACAATGGATATGGGGATGCAGATATCTCTTATTCAATTTACATTCCCACCAACAGTGCACAAGAGTTCTCTTTTCTCCACATTCTTGCCAATATTTATTTCTTGTCTTTTTAATGTCATTCTAAGAGATGTGAGGTGATACCTCATTGTACTTTGATTTGCATTTCCCTGATAATTAGTGATGTTGAGCACCTTTCATGTACCTGTTGGCCATGTGTATGTCTTCTATGGAAAAATGTTCATTCAGATCCTCTGCCTATTTTTTAATTGGCTTGGATTTTTTTAAATTTTGTTTTTGTTTTTGTTTTTCTATTGGGTTGTATGAGTTTTTTGTACATTTTGAGTAGTGACTCATTAGATATATAATTTGCAAATATTTTCTCCCAGGTAATGTCCATTTTAAAAGAGCAGTCCAGGTGACTTTGATGCAGGTGCTCTGAAGACTTTAATTTAAGAAACATCATTGGTTGGGGCGCCTGAGTGGCTCAGTCATTAAGCGTCTGCCTTCGGCTCTGGTCATGATCCCAGGGTCCTGGGATCGAGCCCCGCATCGGGCTCCCTGCTCGGCAGGGAGTCTGCTTCTCCCTCTCCCACTCCCCCTGCTTGTGTTCCCTCTCTCACTGTGTCTCTCTCTGTCAAATAAATAAATAAAATCTTTAAAAAAAAAAAAAGAAACATCATTGGTTTAGGGTAATATATTACAGAGCATCATCCTCCAGTCTTCATTTTATCATCCCCTGAGATGGCAAATAAACCAAAGTATAAGATTCATTTGACA